GATAAACTCAAATTTGTAAAAATAACAAAATATGAATAAAAAATGAAATGGAGTGTGGTTGTTACCAAAAAGTCATGCATAAATAAAGTTAATTTGAAAATTAATTACTTAAAAATATTAATCTAATCTAAAAACAAGGGTTTCACAACAAAAACTAAGACGAATAAATTAATATTTATTAAAAAAAAAAAACTGACATGGTCAGCATCCAAACAACAAGCTGTTAAAGGAGTATTTCAGCCTCATTTAAACAAAGAAGGATCACTCCTATAGTCGGAAATCTAAAGAACTAAAACATCTGCAGCAAACGTCACTCACTAAGAACAACAAGCATCTAGTATGAATTAAAACAAGCCTGCTGACACCAAAATTACACAGATTCGGTACCTGCTTTTTGTCTCCTGATCTTCTCTGAGTAATTCATGAACAAAAGTGAAATGTTTATTATTTATTGTTAACTGTTGGTCTGCTGTTTGTGTATACTTTTTTAATTTAAACAACCAGCACTCACCTTTCTCCTCGTCACTAGCTATTTTCTCCCAGTTGTCTATATCAGTATCCGGCTTCACCTCTGCATAAAAACAACATGTTAACTTCTTTTTCACTTTCTCTTCCTCTCATATACCTCTTGCACTCACCTGGCTCTGCAGTGGGTAGTTCAACCTCTCTTTCCATGGGAATAGGCTCTGGAGTTTCCGATGTTGGTGAAGCCACCTCTGATGCTTCTAGTGAGCAGGAATGAGCAATAACAGATTAGATGTGACTTATTACTCATGAGAAGCAGCAGGAACAGAAAAAGTGAGACGGTACCGTCAGGAGTTTGAGAATTAGGCTTCTTCTTCCTCTTATCTCCATAAACCGGCTTCTTCTTTGGCACTGAGTCTTTGGATGGCACTTCAACACCTTAAACAAAATATGCATATTAAACATGAGTATGACTGAACTCTATGCCATCTAGGCCTGGGCGATAAACCGAAAAATAACAGATGCCGACATTTATGACAATAACCGATATCATTTTGCCCGTGTCGGTATTTTCAGTATTTAAAAAATGAGGAAAAGAGAAACCTGCTCATTTTCTGTTGCGGTCACAAGCTGCCCAGTCTGATACATGTTTAAACAAACGTTGCTTTCAACAAATCAAACAAATCCCACAGCTTAGTTTATCCAATCAGAGCAGAGCAGGGCGGATCTTTCTCATGTCGGTGCAGCAGTCTGCAGGATAAACACCGGTCAGCCTGTAGCTCCTGTCCTGAGTGAGCAAACCCCATCCTCCACTTTGCTCCTGAGCTACCAGAGACATTGGTATCTAAAATCTAACACACTATAAGTTTATGTGTTCAGAGTTTCGTTATCTAACAAATACAGTATGTCCAACTTTGCTCACGTGATTAAACTCATCTCCTCGACAGCGTTGTTACGGGAGCGCGCCGAGGTGCGCACAGGCTGAGTTGTTCTGTGAGAGCTGCTGTTTCAGCTCTTCTAACGAAACATTAACTCTAATAGATGAACATTTGTTTGTCCCATATTACAGAGCTATGTTCCGGCTGTGTAGTTTATCACAAATTTCATTCTTCACAATATAGCTTGTTTATATTTAGAACCATACTGTGACTGAACTGCTCTGTGATCCAATAAATGATCAAATATGAAGAATAAATAGTAACCAATGATTACATGAGCTCTATAAATTATAAAATCTTTTTGAAAGAAACAGTTATTTTAATAGAGAAATCAGTCAGTCTCACAAATAAAAAATATATTTAAGTTATTTTGTGCAGTACAAAAGACACATTTGGTATATTTTTTTAAATATAAAATTATAATACATAATGTGTGTGTTTGCACTGAAAAGTTATGGAGATGGTTTAATATTTGTATCTGACTCAAGTTTTGGCAAAAATGGTGTTTTTTTATTAAATATATTAAAAACACTAAAATGGCAAATATAAACTACAGAAAAGCTGTTCAAAATCTAAACTGTGAACTTTGACTGAGAACATGGACACAGTGTATAGTGTTATGATTATACTATACTGTGTACTTGTTTATGGGAGTGGTAAGAGTTATTGTACATTTATCGTTAACGAGGTAAACTGGTCAATACAGTGGTTTGCAAAAGTATTCATACCCCTTGAACTTTTCCATATTTTGTCACATTACAAC